TCTATTTCTTATTGTAAAGTTCACTCCTATGTAGATGACACCCAGATCTACCTTTCATATAATCCTGATGATTTTTTACAAGCCAATACCAAACTGTCAAGAAACCTACAGGCTGCAAATCAATATTTCTCTAGCCATGGATTACTTATAAACCCAAGGAAATCCACCGTGATTACCTTTAAATCCAAGCTAAGCAATTTTGACAGTAAAGTTGTCAATTTATCTATCGGAGGAGAGCCACTCCATCATAAACTGCAGATAAAAAATTTAGGTGTGCTTTTTGACTCATCGTTAACATTCCATGACCATGTCACAAAAATAGTACAAAGCTCATATAGTGCCTTGAAAAGCATATATAGTTTCAGACACATATCTACTTTCTTGATCCGCTATAGTTAGGTCAACTAATTTGTTGATTCTAAGCAAAGCAGAATATGCTGATTCTATGTTTGGTCCTTGCCTGATACAAAATGAATCCTACAGGTTGCAAAAGATTCAAAATGCATGTGTCCATTATGCAGTAGGTGTCCCCTATATTTGACGCGTATTCCATGGTTAACTATGAGAAAAAGGTGGATGTACATCTGTGCTGTTTGGTGCATTCCGTTCTTTGTAATACTTAAAGGGTGAATTATCTATGCCTAATCAATATCATAATGCCAATCTTAGATTTGTCGATCATAGACTGGATATTCCTGCTCACAATACATCTAATTTTAAAAAATCGTTTTCATATATAGGAGCTGCATTGTATAATAAAATACCGCTTTCAGTCAAGCAGCTATCACTTAATAGATTTAAAGGACAAATCAAGGAGCTCATATTTAAAGACGGCCTATCTATATAACTGTAAACAGACTCTTGTTGTTTGTTTTTTCTAAAACTCTTATAAATTATTAAATTTTATTGTAATGTGCTTGTAAGCAATTGGTGCCCTGGTTAGGGAGTAAGAACAGCTGCTAGCCGAATCCTCGCCAGGAAAATAAAAGGCATTTTATTATTATTATTATTATTATTATTAAGTATCAAACTCATTACCAGCACAATCATAATGTTCGCAGAACCCACACATTATGTACTTAAAGGCTTGGACAAAACATACACTCTGCATCAGCAGAGTCAGGAGATACTTGACCCATCAACTCATCAGGTTCACTATCTGAATCAAACTGGATAACCTCCTCACCCTCAGAGTCTTCTTCTTCCCGATCAGTCTTATTTTTATTTGATCGTTTGTTTCTCTTCGCAGTTTTCTTCTTATTCTTTGTGTTGGACAATTTATTTACTTTTTCTTGTCTCTTCATATTTGTATTTACTAAATCATTCTTATAGAGTGAAGATGTTACAACTGCTTCCATTTTCAGCTTTTCTCCTCCTGTTAGATACTCTTCTCTGTTTCTCTGGCACTGGACTTATGCCATATGGAGACACCAGACCTAGACTGCTGCGATTAAGCCCGGAAGTCGAGGGTTCAGGTTCAGGTTGTACATAAGCACTTGTTTCTGGTACAAGTATTTCTGTCAGGGCTTGACCAGTTTAAGATCTGGATTCCAGTGTAGTGGTGTTGAATGTGCAACCGTCTCTCACAGCATTTTGTTGCGCAGCAATAAAGTCCACATCACTGAACACATTCTTATTCAAAGGGCATATTCCAGTGACCTTAACCCCGTTGGCTGCAATTTCGCCTGTTTGTACTTTCAAATAGGATTTTCCAAACCGCTCGACAATATCATAATATGGACTCTGTTGTTGTTTCGAATCCACATGCGTATTTCCTCACTGTAGTATGTTTTTAACGGCCCCATGAAAGTCTTGTGCAGCTTGCGAGTCGTATGTGGAGGTAACGAAACGATGTCCACGTTATTTTCCCTAGCGGTGTCTATTAGATCAATATTGCGAGTATGACTATAGTGTACATCTAGTATCGGTAAGACCCTCGATTCAGGAGTCGGGTTGGTATGTTGAATGAAGTGCTTGAACCATTCTGTAAAACTGTTCATCTGAATCCACCCTGATGGACATGCAACTCCGACTGATCCTGGCGGACAGCCTCTCATTAGCTGAACACTCATATTTTTTCTGAGGAAAATAATGAACGGTGGCACAAAATGACCAGTAACATTCATGCAGGGCAACTATTGTCATTAGGGATCCTCTTTCTGCTGATGTAAGTGCGGCTATCTGAGGTTTTCCTTTGAGACCGATGACTTGTGGTATCTTACTTTGTACTATTGTAAGGAAAGATGCATCCACATTGTAAATACGATTTGGTGGACAGTTATTTTCAGTGTCAATCTCTACGAGAAGGATGAACAGGCATGCACTTTTTCATTATCAAATCCAAAATGCTCTGGCAAAAGATGTACCAGTTGGTCTTCTTATCGAAAGCTTCTCTTTATGAGAATTTAAAAATAACTTCAACCACTTTTTTCCAGCCATATCTGATTGACCAAAAGGATTCTGTAAATTATTTCGCTTTGTTAGCATATACGCCATACGGCGGAGCGCAGTTCTTGTTAAACCGTGCATATACGAGGGTGGGATGAAAAGTTTCCGGCCTGACCAAGAAAAACGACGATAAAAAAATTTTTTTTGCTTTATTTTTCAACATAATCTCCATCAACACTGATAGATTTCTCATAACGGTGTTCTAATTTAGTTATACCAGTTTTAAACGTGGATTCGTTAAGCTCCTCAAAATACCTACTGATTTACAGCTTTGATAACTTCTTTCTTGCTCATTTTTGAGGTTAGGAAACAGATAATAGTCGCTGGGGGCTAAGTCTGGAGAGTAGGGAGGATGCGGCATCAATTCAAACTTCAGTTCGTGGATTTTGGACATGGCAATAATCGACGAATGCGCTGGTGCGTTATCGTGATGAAAATAATTTATTTATTTGCCAAATGAGGTCGTTTAATTTGCTCCTCGTGCTTCAAACGTTGCAATAACTCTGCGGAGTATTGACCAGTGTAGTGGTTTGGATTACACCTATACAGCTCCAAATTGTCGGTAGAAATGGTTTTTCCACGTTTTTGATCGAGCATTAGCAAACGCGGCACCCACCTTGCACACAGCTTTTTCATGTTCAAATGGTTGTGCAAAATATTTCACACACGTTCAGCTGACATCCTACAGGTCTCAGCTATCTGGTGCACTTTCAACCTGCGGTCTTCCAACACTATTTTATCGATTTTCTCAATCATTTCGGAAGTTGTGACCTCAACGGGCCGTCCTGAGCGAGGCTCGTCATAGGTGCTCACACGACCCTTTTTAAATTCAGAAACCCACTGCTTAATAGTTGAATATGATGGGAAGGAGTCTTCTAGTGTTGAATCAATCTCTTCTTTTATTTGTTTTGGTGTAAAACCTTTCAAATAGAAGTATTTGATGACAGCAAGTTTTTCCATTTTTACGAAAACAACGGACGCGTCTCACGCAATATGATCTCAAACTCAAACTAACGTAGCGATTGGGCTGGAACTGTACATACAAGCTTGGTAGGAATGGTTCTATAGGACGCCAGTCCACAAAGTAGACCTAGTGGCGCCATCTCTTGGTCAGGCCGGAAACTTTTCACCACACCCTCGTATAATACGTATTCTACCAGCTGACATTCAAGTTGGGAGCCCAATATTGTATTTCGTCCTGATGTAGTGGCTGCTGCCTTTTCTGAAGACTGTTCCTCACTTTGACATTGGCGGAATAAAGTTGTCCTCGGCACTTGAAAATGCTGTGACGCTTTCAAATATCCCATTTTCTTGGCCCGGGCGAATTTTATAGCTTCCGCCATTTTTTCTTCATCCCAGTTTTTTCGTTTCTTGATCGATTGTGAAGCGGACATTCTAAAAACAAACGTACCATATAATTTTTGAAAGAAATAGTAGCAAGTATCTAACTTGTGAAATATATGGACCTAATTATGGAATATTCCATAATTCGGCACCGTGCGACTGTTCGTATTTGGATTTTTATACTAGTTCAAACTCGTATCAATAGTTTTTCAAGTCACAACATTTTAATTAAAGGAGAGTTCAAAAAATGTTGACATAATATAATTTCGATATACTCAATAGTATAACACGTAGGTATACATACATAAAAACTGATAATACTCATTTATTACATACCTTTAAAATTTTCTGCGGAACGACAAAACAAATCACACCTGCCACATGCGTAGTGTTCGCGCAACTGACTCGAGGGCGTGAGTGCGATAGTAAAGAGAGTGAATGAAATAGAAGATGGTTGTGTTACATTTCGGACTTTTATTTTCGGATAAATCTAGGTATTCCATATTAGGATACTATTCCATATTAGGTGACCTTTCTCTATACGTTGAATTTGAGGCGTACAGGAGACTAGGCAGGCTTGAGACAAGGGAGGAATCAGACACTACATTAATTTTCTAAAATCAGGTATGCAGAGACATCTGTTGGTTACTGGTTAATAACTTCAGTCAAATCTCTCACCGCTTGGCCAGCGAAGCGGTGATAATAATATTAGTAGAACATTGTTGTTAGTGCAGGTGCAAAATGGCTGCCAAAACTAAATTTTAATTTTGTGATATCGTTGTAGTTTGCAGCAAGTTAAAGTGAAAATTTGAGTTGATTGTTTAGGCATGGTGACCTCAGGTATTTTATGAATTATTTATATAGTTATCCCATGAAATAGAAGTTTAACAAGAATTTCAAGTTAGATTATTTTATGAAATGCTATATAGGGAGACATGAGACAGTTGTTTTGGAGAGACATGGGACGTTTCATGCCTCCTTATGTAGCGTTTTATGAAATTATCTAATCTAAAATTACGGTTAAACATCTGATTCACTGGATTACTAATATTTTTAAACAATGCAAAAATGCTAATCTGGTTGAGAAATAATTTTGGAGTACAATTTTAGAAGATGGCAGCATCTATATCGAAAATTTTGTTAGTCCAGAAATTTTGCCACCACTTCCGAAGGCAGGCCCACGAAAACGGATTAGGTACAAAGCGAAAATGTGGTGCCTCAAGAATTCTTACCGACACACAAGGAAAAGAAGCAATAGAGGCTGGAGCAACTTCTCGGAAGATAAAAAAGTTGTGCCTTTGAAGCATGACGATCTTTTATCAACAACAAACAAACAACAGAAACCTGCAACTTCACCACAGCCTTCTTCAAGTGATGAAGAGGAACAAAGCGGAAGTAGCAAAGATATTTCAGATGTTGAAAGCTACGAAAGAGAAGTGCTTCAGATTAAAGCTCTTGAGGATATCGAAACCCTCAAGTGGGAGACTTCGTTTTGGTTAAGTTTTTAGATTTTAGATATGTATTATGTGGGTCTGGTAATATCAAAGAAAGATGATGAATACGAAATAAAATTTTTACGTCGTCACGGAACCACCTGAAAATTTGTTTGTCCACCAGTGGAAGATATTTCTTCAGTTCGAGAACAAGATATTATTTTGAAATTACCGTTTCCAAACAATGTAGGTGGAACAGAAAGAGTTAAATCTACTCTGACATTTAGTCTGGACCATTATTATCAAAATGTTCGTTGATTTTCTTTATTATTGTTATTATTATTTTTTTAAATAATTAATAGACAGTTTTCGTTGTTGATTAATAATTAATAAACTTGTAGATTTTCTTTATTTTTTATTTCTTCAACAATTAATAAACGTTTCCCAAAAGCTTACAATGCCTCAGTGCTCCCTATAACTTGTCTCAATGGTCCCTTGCCTAGGGAGCCTTAAGAAAATTTACACCATTTGGTTGAAATACATTTAAACAATTTGAATAATACTTTGGAAGCATGAAAGTGTATAGCAAGTTTCGCTAAATCGCACACAGTTCACTTCCCCTAAATGTAATCTTTAAATTACTAATTGTATAATGTATAAGGAATAAAATTCATTTTTTGACTCTAGCCTTCCTAGTCTCCCCAAATGATGTTTGCAAAATATTTTAGGTTGATTCCAATTAATATTCACATTGTATGTACAAGAAAAAACAAAACTGCTGAGGTTTTAAGAGACTTTGTGTTTCTACAAATTATTATCTCTTTTATATTATTTATATCTCATGTCCATTCATCTGCGAAAAAATCCGATATGGCGTCCATAAGAAAAAATAAAGTTGATGCTGCAGGACAAGAGACGAAATGTTAACATGCAATTTATTTTATTTCTCAATTAAGTCAAGAAAAAATAAAAGTGATTTTGCGATGAATATCGTATGCGAAACAAATGACTGATAATTTCAAGGCCTACTGAGGAAATTCTGCTTTTTGAAATAACCAAGGTTTGTCAATGTCAATGTGTGATGTATTAAAGTGGCGTAATATGCTCTGCTGTTTTCTGCGCTAAAATCATCAAGACGAGTATTTAACAGTGTTTGGGAAAAATTACGAAAATACAAGGTAAATTACAAATTACAAATTATTTTGTGATAAGATTTTGGCGATTTGCAGACAATTGTAGGTAAGTCTATTGTTGCAATTCCCAGTAGGGACATAGTTATGAATCTACGGTACACAACCTAACTATTCATGCCGCGTAGGATAACCAGGTTTCACCAGACATGAGTTTACAATTTATTGAATCTGGAAGACACACTTTGGGGTAATATGGCATAATTGTGTAGCATATTACCCCAAAATGCGGCATATTATCCCAATATGTGGCATTTACACATTTTAAGCTTTTAGAGTAAAGAAGATGCCACGAAATTACACCAAGAAAAATTTGACAAACAAAAGCAATAGGAAAAGTTGGAAAATAACAAAAAGCTTGCCAAAGGGAAAAGTCGTAGAAGTCTCTCATTTGATTATCATAGTTCGCCCGAAAGCGAAACGGAAGTAGTTACACAGGAAAGTGGTGAATCAGAAATAGAAGTAGACCGTTCCGAAATTTGTGCAGAATGCGGTGGATACCTATTATTTCGACAAAAAGGGTCCCAAATGCGATTGGATACAATGGAAGTATTCAGATTGGGCCCATGAAATCTGCACAAGATCTGACTTATTCTGCGAGGATTGTATCCCACTTCAACAGCTAGCAAACAATATCAAATGGAACAATTGAATATTTATTTTTTATATTAGGTTAGGATTATTTTTGTTATTTATATAATATATTTCAACTTATTTCAGGTTATCTTTGGTTAATATGTTAAAGAGCATTTCTTTAAAATATATTTGTTTATGTTTTTTTTCATAAATTACATGAATCCTTATGAGAATCACATGTTGCCATATTTCCCAGTGTCCCATGCCATAATACGTAGAGTATTTGTCATTATTCGAGAGCTTTGTTTCCTATTAGACCTATAGTCAAACTAGCTCAAAAACGGATTCACAAAACTATACCGGATACTGTATAGTCATTCTAGCCAATTCTGTTGCAAGGCTGAATGGACAGAGTATTGATTTATGGTCCATTAAAAAATAAGTTGCCATAATACCCCATCTTACTCAATAGATTTTTGGAATCAGAATTATAAATTTATTCACCTATGTACAAATCTAATATGGCGTCCATAAGAAAAAATAATGATGATGCCGAAGAATAAGAGTATTGAAGTTCTAATGGCTATGTTAATGTGCACTTTATTTGGAAATCCAACTACAAATACCTAAAGTCAGGAAAAAATTAAAACGATTTTAGGAAAATTCAGTTTTTGTCGCCTTTTTCCGGAAGTAGGTACTTTGAATTTTGAAACTTTCTAACCCAAATAGCATAACTGTAGAGGAAGGACGCCTATTATCGGGTACCTTTTTAAAAATGTTCAGTAAAACTTTTCTATTCATTCCCAAAAGTTAATTGGTTGACATATTTATTGCTTATTGTTCCTAGTTTTGTTTTACAAGAGATAATTAAAATAAAGTAAACACAGTTGCTGTTATTCAGAAAATTCGTTAATGGTGTCATTTCCTTAAATTAAAAAAAGGTTGCCTAATATCGGGTAGTGTCGATTCCAAATATCGGGTGCCCGATATTAGGCTACAACTTCTTTAAAAAATACAAAGTAGCAATATTAGCTATCTAAGATATTTTATTTTACAGTAAGACACAGGAGAATACAAAAAATAAAATAACTATTTCTCAATAACCAGAGAATAAAGTTCAAAAGAAACAAGTATTTATCCATCTAAACATAATTCACAAATAAATGATTTCTCCTTGCCTATATCTGAGCAATCTTCGTGACACCAACGCAGACACTTCATGCATTGGACCCACTTGGATCCAGAAATATCTTCAGAGAACCAGTTGGAACAATAAAAGCATTCCACATCGACATCATCTTGGTCCATGTCGTCATCCGTGTCTACCAATTGAATTTCATCACTATCAGAACTGCTACATGAGCTTATCTTCCTCTTTCTTCCCTTTTTTCCTTTTGGGATCGATTTTTTATTGTTAACTTTTTCCTTCTCGTTTTTTAGTTTTGATTTATTTTGATTCAGGCTAACTTTTTTCGGTGCGATCTTTTTTCTTTTTTTCAAGCTCTCTTCTAAATCTGTCTTATAAGGCGTAGAAGTGAGGATAGCTGTTGAACCACGTTTACCTCCTTTTTTAGAAGCTTCACCCGAACAACCTGGCCTTGGAGACTGATGTTTTGTCTTTAGGCTAGGTATAGGACAAATATCCTGAGGTACAACGAGCTTAGGTGTCGAAATGGGTGGTGCAGTTTCTCTTTCTTTTCTTAAGTTTTCAGCAACAGCAGGATCCACAGCAATCTGATTTTCGTCAATATCTCCTTCGACTGATTGTCTTTCATTTGAAGAATGGATGGCAAATTCGTCATCTCGGAAAATTGTCGGTTGGAATGGAAATATTCCACATTTTCTAAAACCATTCACTGCAATTTCACAACTCGCTGCTCTTAAATAGGCTCTTCCCATTAGTTCCGATATTTGATAGGAAGTTACAACTCTCCCTGGATTTGCTCTAAGCCATGTTTCAATTTCAGCAGCATAATAAGTTTTGAAAGGTGACATAAAGGAGACATCGAGTGGTTGTAACTTATTTGTAGAATGGGGAGGTAGGCAGATAATATGGACGAAATTATCTCTGGCAATGTTGATAACATCAATATTCCTTGAATGAGAATAGTGTCCATCTAATATCAAGACAACTTGTTCGGATTCGCTAGGTTTTACATGTAAAATAAAGTGCCTCAGCCAGTCTGTAAAAATGTCTTGCTGAATCCATCCCGATGGATGACATCTGGCAACGGACCCAGGGGGAGCTCCATTTAGAAGCTCGGGCTTCATATTTTTGCGGGGAAACACCAACATTGGTGGTATGTAACGACCGACAGAGTTCATACACGTTACAATAGTTACTAAAGCACCCCGTTAAGAAGCAGTTAAAGCTGCAACTTGCCTTTTTCCTTTCAAACTTATCACTTTGGCATGTTTGTGTTGTACTGTCGTAATACCAGTCTCATCAACATTATAGATTGCTGCTGGATTAAAGCCAACTTTTGGCAAAACGCTACCAAGGAGGTTGAAAAATGCTTGAACATTCTCTTTTGTAAAACCCTTAACACGGGCTGCAGAAATTCCCTGTGGTTTTCGGAAAGACAATTTTGGGTGTCATGACATGAACGATTTCAACCATTTTTTTCCAGCAGCGGCACTTCGGCAAGAAAAAGGATGCTTAAGCCCATTACGTATCGCCAGCTGAAAGGCTAGTCTTCTTACATCTGACGCTCGGAGACCAAAATACCTTCTTTCCATTTCGAGAGCATACTCAACTAGTGCTTCTTCAAGTTCATTTGTTAAAGTAGGTTTTCTGCCTAATTTGATAGCAAGTAATGTATCAACTGGTTTCTTACTTATTACATAATCAATCAGTGTGCTTTTGGGCACGCCAAATGCTTTAGACTCCTTGAGAGTTCCCATTTCCTTGTTCTTAACTGCTTCTACTGCCCTCTTCATCGCTTCTGCATTCCATTGCTTTCTTTTTTTGGAGGCATCTGTGAATAAACAGATGCTTAATAATTATAACTTCAATATAATGAAACAATATCTACGTCACAACATCAAGTGTTCCTTATATCGGGTACCCGATATTTGGCATCTTTACATGCCCGCTATTAGGAAACATAACCTCAAAATATTACGACAATATATCTTAAAAAGCAAATCGAAAGGGACATTTTTCTAATCCTTAGTGGATGGCTGCAAGCCTACAGAAGACATATGAACATAAAAATAAACAAAAACCTTTTCATGCAAACACCAATTTAGTTAACACTTTCAAAATATTCGTGGCGGATTTCACACACTTCCCGTGTTTGTGGAAAGAATGAAGGTCACAGAAACATTTGAACGTTACAGGTTGCATTTAATGTGGTTCCTGTTACATGTTGGTCATTATAACAGTAGATGGCTGTAGTAGCTCGTCTAATAAACCGCTGCCCGATATTCGGAACCTACCTATTAGGCATCCTTCCTCTATCTTAAAGCCATTTTAAACACGTCATTGGCGTCTTGTGGACGCTATACGACAACTTACAGACGTTGTAAAGACTATGTTTGTTACAAAAACTGTGCTTATTAAAAACGTCTTTATAATACGTTCGTAAGGTCTTTCGTGCGGCATTAAAAAGACATAATAAAACACAAACGAATTATTAAAAAAAGTGTTTTTCTCAAACTTTTTCTGGGTAGCTGTCTGGCGATCATTTCAGCCAAGCCCGGACTGCCAGCTCCACCTCATGGTAGCTCTGGCTTACACCAGCCCTTTCAGCAGACATTGAAATAAATATCTCAGTACCTACAAAACAAATAATCTTAAATAATTAAGGAATAAGTATGTCTTAGCTCTTGTTGCATCAGGCCAGTATACGATTTCACTCAAGGTTGCACTCAATATTGGCACAAATTAATCAAAAAGTCTTTGACTTTGACTTAAATAATGAAATTGGTTAAAAAGATATATGAATCTTAACAAAGTGACATATACAGGGTGTCCGCAAAGTTGGGGTTTTCCTTTACACGACGTGTAGATCTTGAAAACATAAGCAATTTTTCTTAGTACCATATACACCAATGTCTTAATAAAGGGCCCTGTAACATCAAAAATATCTGAATACCGTCCTGTAGCCGCGACCCGCCGCGATATCCCAGACTGGTACCGGCTACTAGCTGAACCCGACGACAGAACTGGGTCGGGGGTCGGGGTCAGTGTGTCAGGTCAGTATGCAACCTTCAACCGACGGTAAATGGTCACGCGTATAGAGGTAACGAACCCGTATAATCGATTGCGTTTAAAAAAAAAATAATAATAATGGCACACTCATACACCAATAATGAACTCGTTGATATGTTGTTAATTTATGGCGAATGTCTTCAAAATGCTACAGAATCGTCGCGAGTGTATGCAGATCGTTTCCCTAGACGACATCATCCAAGGCCCCGCAGATTTGTGTACCTGGTCCAGAGAGTCAGGGATACGGGCCATTTGGAGGAATTTCGAGGTGGGCACAGTGGGAGGCCTAGACAACCACGAATGGTGCAAGTTGAGGAAGAACTACTGAGTCGCGTAGACGAGAATCACTCAACAAGCACTAGAGACGTGGCTAGAGAAGTTCAAGTATCAAAAACTAAAGTGTGGCAAACGTCCAACGTGTACAAGCCCTTCAACCTGACGATTTTCCAGCAAGAGTGCGGTTTTGTGAGTGGTTGTTGCATCAACATGACAATAATCCGGACTTTTTGAAGTGCATATTGGTGACAGACGAATCTACGTTCACGCGTAATGGGGTGAATAACTTTCGATTTGAGGCAGAGACGTACTTAGCCCTTCTCGTCAACTGGAGAGTGAGTACTTTTTCCTTTATTTTTTTTACTTGGTCGCCCTCGTTTCACTACACATTACCTTTGTTATTTCAAGGGTAGTTGTTTCTGAAAAGGAAAACCCCAACTTTGCGGACACCCTGATATATATATATATATATATCCTTTAATTTCTTTGGGTAGAAGGCAAAGTATTGCAAAAGTACACTCTTATAACTTAAAATCTCAAGCTTTCGAAGAATTTTTTCTTCATTCTTGAGCTGGAAACAATTAATAAAATAGCAACTAATAGTAATTTATATTATATATATATATCCTTTAATTTCTTTGGGTAGAAGGCAAAGTATTGCAAAAGTACACTCTTATAACTTAAAATCTCAAGCTTTCGAAGAATTTTTTCTTCATTCTTGAGCTGGAAACAATTATTAAAATAGCAACTAATAGTAATTAGGAGAAAATTATTTACTTACTAAGTCGGTGAGATTGTTGCTAAAATTGTTTGTTGTTTGAAATTTTTTTCAATAGTTGATAGTTTCAAAATCTCCAAATGTCTTCCAAAATCAATCAACGCCTAATTTTAATTAAAACGTTTCAAAATGATTTGCCAATTAACAATAAAATAATTCCGTCCTAATCGAACCTCATCGGTCCAGTTTGTTATTCGTCGACTATGTGTTCTCTTTCACTGTTGTTTAAAAAATAATTTCACCAACAATCTCGCCGATTTAGTAAGTAAATAATTTTCTCCTAATTACTATTAGTTGCTATTTTAATAATTGTTTCCAGCTCCAGACGATGCACATACGGGTATTTCACCGATCTGGCTGGCCAAAATTATTTTTCCCGCTATTATGAAATTTTAACGTTTCTTATGTTATTTTATGTTGAGATAAATAACTTGTGTCTGATAAGTTTTTTAAAAAAAACAATTGAGTGCATATATTTTTTTATTTGCGAGGAACACTTTATTTAAATTTATTCAATTAAAACAATATAATTAACTAGACCATGATTAGGAGCATGGTCCGTCGTCTGATTTATTCTCTTCTTTGTCTGTAAGCTCTTTTGGCAATAACGCTTTCTCCATAACTGTTGCCCCATGCAAAAGAATTTTGTGCATTGTTGGGGTCATAGAATGCCACGAATATAAAGAAATATAAATTTTTGCAGTTTCAAAACAATAGTCAGCAAATTTTTTTAAATCGACTTTGTGGCCACTTGAAATCACTTCCAAAATTATTTTGAGTCTATAAATTAAATTGAAATCAACTCCAGTGATTTCACTTGCTTTTTGTGGCTCGGCAAAAAATCGTCGACTGGTGTTGCCGTCATTGGTGTTACCAAAATTAGCTTTAGGTACATCTACTATTATTTCTTCCCTAAATACTTTTTGTATTTCAACTTTTCTTTCTTTAACAACAGTCTTGTCAGCTTCGGATCTTAACTGCCATTTTTTTACAGGTAATTTGTAAGAAAGGTGTAATACGCTTTCGAATAATCTGATTCTCGCATGCAAAATGGACAAACCAAATGAAAGATATAACATTTCATGTTAGACGCTGTCTGTGTGGCAGCGTTGCACACCTTTCCATCTACCATAGTAAATGCCATGGTATGTTTTACACTCGCAGATACCCCTTCTCTCGTAAATACGCTGTTCTGTAATGCATCAATTTGATTTTGAATGTATTTGATTTCATTGTTTGTAGTATCAGTAGTCTCTTTTATAAACCCGATCCTAATCGGACGACAGTATCTTGGAGATGATGGGGTTGGATTCTGCCAAATAATCTTTTTGTTTTTGCCACACACTAACTGAAGGGGAACTAGGCAACTTTGAAAAATATTGGAATCTGTGTCGTCATTGTTTTGCATTTTTTGCTTGAACTGGGATTGCTGCGATCCATCGCAGCCCCATTTAGTTACCAGCTCTAATCTGTCACTTTTTTTTTGTGCAAGGTTAGATAAGAGCTCTTTCAAATATATCAAAAGTCGTGTTACTGTATGGTTTAGCAAGTGCTGCAGTCCAATTTCGGCGCATGTTTCACTTAAATGATATGACTCTTTTTGCGGATAGCACTTACGTTTTTTCTTTTGCAATATGGTATAACAAGGGTAATATTTCTTTTTTGAATCTCGTATTACTTCGTACTGTTTTCTGGAAATATCCGCTTCCACAAACATTGATAACGAACGAAGAGGTGTAAGTTGTGTTGCGTTGACTTGCAAATGTGTTGCATAAGCTTTTTTGTACTTAGTACCTCGTTTTGGAGACTTAACTAATTCAGTGAGAACAGCATGAACGAGAGCCTCTTTACTTACGGTGTTTCGTAGTTGCTCTGTTTTTCTCCTTCTACTTCTCTCAGATGACTCACTAAATGGTTTTAATGGTCGACCAACACGTCCATGGGAAGATTTAGGTATCTGGAATGTTCCTTGCAGCCAATCAGCATTCTCTTTTAAGAATTTGTCTTCTTGCCTCTTACCTTTTGACCATCTTCTTTTAAATTCACTTTTTGTATAAGAAAATTTATGCTTCAACTCTCTTATTTGCTCTTGACTATAATCACCATGTGTGAAAAGTTAATTTTCCAAATAATTTAATTTTTCTTCTAAATTCGGTAAGTTCTGTTCCTGCATTTTATCGTATAATCTTTTTCTAGATATTACTCTGTAGTTTGAGCCACCTGGAGTACCTAAAGCAAAATAAAAATTATATTAAAACTGAGTACTTTTAATGCTGCACTATTCGCTAAGTACGACTACTTCCAAGAAAATGTAAATATAACGAAAAAGAGCAGAAAAGGGCAGCTGATTTATTTATTGTCATATTACAAGAGGTCTATTCAGTAACTTTCAATGAAAAATACAACCGGGAAGGACCCTGACGTATAACTAATTTCTTAGATAACCAAAAAATAAATAAATAAAACTTAAGAACAATAGTACATACTTTCACTGGGCTATTTACGAATCTCTTTCAACAAAAATAATATAAAAGATTCAAAAAATATGCAGTATTACCTCTATTTTCAGGATCCATAATTATTTGCGTAATATTAATCACTCAGTAAATAGTATTCGATGTCCAACTTAACGATCACACTTGAATGATATAAGGGACGAATGCGCTATGAACGACGGACAAGTTTAGACTTGTTGTTCCAAGCGACGGTAATCGCGAGTTTGCGGGCAAGGGCTTCTATGATGTGCAGCAACTATCGGAGCACTAACACAGGCTGTTTATTTATACCTAAAAGATATTTGACAAAATTGACTTTTGGCCAGCCAAATTGGTCAAATGTGCGATGAAGAAAAAATTCTTCGAAAGCTGGGGATTTTAAGTTATAAGAGTGTACTTTTGCAATACTTTGCCTTCTACCCAAAGCAATACGAATACTATAAATATATATGTAGAGTAAAGTCGGCATATATGGAATACCAATTATTCGTATAGCGGTAACATCAAAACTGAAGTGTTTGGAGCTGCAATATTTCATTAATAAATAGTTCTAAGTATCTCCAAAGAGTGGCAGGTGCTAAATTAAAAATTAAATCATATTCGATAATTTTACGAAAACATTTAAAAAAAATGCATTTTTGTTGGAAAATAAAAAATGGAGGGTAATATGGAACGGGCATATCGCCATATCGGGTAATATGGAATAGACTTATTATACGCAAAAAACTTCACTAAAACCATTTAACTTCAGAACATCGGTATACTCGTATATATATAAGTATATCTAAGTATATCTAGGAATCGCAAAAATCGCAAACAAAAACATCTTTTTCAGCACTGGTACAAGCTTCGTGAGCCCAATTATAGCAGATTACGCATTGCACCCATATTTCTTTACTTCGGCTCGAGGAAAACTTTTCCTGGCAAAAATACATGGGACATCTTCACCGGTTGGCTTTTTATTGTAGCAGCTTAATGGCAGATCTTCATCAGATGAGTCATCAACTACTGCTTCAGATTGTGAATCAGAAGAACTAGAGGAGACATATTTTTTTGTCACTTTACGATTTTTGTTTTTTAATCCACCAGGTCCAGGTTCATCGAAAACGTTTCGGATAACTTTTTGTTTTGAGAGATTAATTGATTGCTCTAATTCCTCCTTATTGGGCGTCGACGTAATTATTTTAGTACGCCCACATTTCCTTCCCCGAGTTGCCGGCTTCTTTGTTAGTTCTGGCACTGGAACTATGTCACTAGGATAAACATTAGGCGAGTTATTTTGCTCGTTATGAGCACGTGTGTTATTGTTCGGCAAATTTTGATTTTCCTTTTGCATTTCGGCCGCAAACTCTTCTTCTGTAAAAATATTCCTTCTTAAAGGGTAGATCCCAGTGGCACTAAACCCTTTAACGACTCTTTCCCCAGATTGCACTTTAAGATATGCGCTACCAAATAACTGGCAAATATCAAAATGCGTTACTGCACGTTTTTCCGTCCTCATGAAGATTCTCACTTCTTCGTTATAAAACGTCTTTAATGCACCCATTACGGTCTTATCAAGGGGCTGAAGTTTATGCGTCGTATGTGGTGGTAGGCATAAAATAGTAACATGATTGTCTTTAGCTTTGATAAGTACATCTAGATTTCTTGTATGAATATGGTGGCCATCTAATATCAGCAGTATTGGTTTTGTTGATTTTTCTAGGAAATGGTCAAACCATTTTGTGAATAAGTCTGTTTGAATCCACCCGGATGAGTGAAAAGCAAACAGGGATCCTGGAGGTGCCCCCTTTTTTAGCTGGTCACTGGCTTTCTTGCGTGGAAAGATGATCATCGGTGGCACAAAATCACCTGCCGCACTCATACACATTACGATGGTTATAAGTGAACCTCTTTCTGCAGATGTGATAGCACCAACTTGTCGTTTGCCTCTAAGCGATACCACTTCTGGACATCTTGATTGCACAATGGACAACCCCGACTCATCTACGTTATATATTTGGTGAGGTCCATAATTTCGCTCCGCCATAGTCTTCTCTAATAAGTCGAAAATTTCGGTAACATTTTCCTTATTAAAACCAACGGCTCTTGCTAGGGAAGTTCCAGTGGGCTTTCGTAAACCTGGTGTATTCTTATGCCTGTGCATGAATGATGAAAACCAATCTTTTCCCGCAGATTCACGTAAAAGAGAGAATGGATGTGGTATATTGTTACGTTTAGCAAGTTGGAATGCTAAGGATCGAACATCCCTTCTTGTCAGACCAAAAAACTTCTGATCCATTATAAGTAAATATCGTACTAGTTCCTCTTCTAACTCCGCTGACAAAATTGGTCTTTTACCCAACTTCGTTTTACTAACAGTTGCTGGAGGCCCTTCAGTATTACAGAGGCGAAAAAGTTTTGAGCGTGGAACTTTATATGCTCTTGCTGCGGCCAAATAACCCATATTTTGGTTTCTTACTGATCCAATGGCGTTTTCCATATCTTTCTCGCTCCATTGTTTTCGCTTTTGCTTTAAGGGAGAAGCCATTATATCTGAAAATAAAAAAACCTTACTTTATACTTAGCGGGTAATATGAGATAGCAATAGGGCGGACAATATGGAATATTCCATATTACACGCTACACAAAAAGTACACAAAACAAGTACTCTATTTGTTATCATGAAAAATATCAAAGCAACTCGTTAAAATTTCTACCATATTATGCCTAAACCAACTTACCTTGTGCTTAATCAACTTTATTTAAACAAAATGTAGTCACAAAACAATTTTAATTGACACCGTGCACAAACTTTAAACATGTGGAAACCATAACCTCAACTTTTTCGGCGTTGCTAGCGTCTAGCGGCAATTTTATTTCATGCCAACAGTCTACGATTTTAACAAGAATTCTAATGTCTTCATCACCTTAGAGATGGAGCCACCCGTTTTAAAATTATGGAAAATTCCATATAACCCGACTATTCCATATATGCCGACTTTACTCTATATGTATATGTATATGATGATGAACGCTTAATTAAAGGTTTTACTAATGTTTATACCGAATTTTTCTGTACAGAAATATTGAAACTAATTAGATGTAACAAACTTGTAAAAATCTCAGTCAGTGATATTGGAAAAATCATAGAAGTTGAAACCTTCAAGAATTTATTTCACTTTTAGCTTTTCATGTAAACTATTAAGCTGATCCGGCTGAAATTTAGCACACTTATTAACACCAACGATGCCCTCATTAGCTATTTACAATAGTTGCAAGCATTTATTCAATATTGCTAAGAAGTATTTTTTTATGCTCTGAAGTATCCAGTTTACCGGTTATTTATAAAATTTATTTGAAAATTTCACAAGCAAAATACTAAATTTTGGGCTTTTCCCATTATTTAGGTATAAAAAACAACGCATATGCTGTATCTTTTTGTGTATGTCATTTAAAACTTTCAGATATCTGCTAAACTTTTTTTCACCTTTTTTATGTAGCTGGGCTATAAGTATTTCGGACAAACACTGATCCTCTGGACGACTGGCCTAATCCGTTTGGCGCAAACACACCGATGCTCATATGTTTTATGCCTAACTTGAATCAGTGTTATTCAAAGCATTCAATTTCCCAACAGCGTATTAATTAATACACTCGTACATGTACAAAGCTCGTTTTGATGGCGGTATAAGTTGCGATGTGGAAAATAAGCAAATCAAAAATTAAATGAACGATGAGAGAATGGCAGCATTGCGTCGTTCTGTAGATGGCCGTCTCTTGATGAGATCTGAGACGCTCCATTTATTCCGTTAATGATGTAGATTCCTCGCCGCCGTCATGTGAGCTATACAAAAACTTTTCCTTAGGATGTCATGCTGATGATGTTACGGAGAGTACTGAAAAATTAATTGCTTTGATTTTCCATCAGCCATTCAGATTCTAGGGAAGACGCAGGGTTTAAGTTTAATGACATGTGATCATTTTACTTCCTACGCATACTGGTGAGGAAGTATTCTAATCGCGAAAAATTTTGAACGTGGGATATCATGTTTTTGAATGTTATATGGCGTGTAGGTAGGTTGTAAGTATCTACATAACGTCATTCATTTCCGACGGTCTGTCTGCCTGTCCGCTAATCCTTGACCCCTCTAAAACTTGGAAAGTACCATTCGGATTTTGATGAAATTCTTGAACTCACCTCATACTAACCATGTCGAACTTCGTACATCCAGAACTGGCCGTTACGACCGCTCCTTTGCCCCTACGGTATCGAGATTGTGGAACAACCTACATGAGAAGACTTTTCCCAGTTCGACTAACCTTAGACAGTTAAAAAATCGGGTAAACGAACTGTTTTTAAGCTCGTTATAGCAGCCTTCCGTCCTTGGAATTTAGGCTTCTGGCTTCGCGGCTGCTTCGATGTAAAAAAGGTGTCCCTGTGTAACTCAAAAACTAGTCATACAAATTAATCCCCATAAACCTTATTAAGAGAAAACAGATTGTGTAAAGTAGCAATATGTTTTTCTGCACCAGAAAATGCAACACCGACTGGGAGTGCTGTAATTTTGAGCATACCTACTTAGTTTTAGGTCTACTGATAAATAGAAAGTTATTAAAATTTTGAGTCGAAATTTCGTAAAATAGCTGAGATAGGTAGGCTTAATGTTAATTGGATGAGGTGATTGATGACTTTTTGGTCTATTGTATCACAGGAAATCTGAACTTGGTTTCGTAGAGCATCCAATGTTTGTGGAGGGTGCGGTGAATCTTGCAACCTTCTTCCCATCATGTCCCATACATGTTCAATTGGAGAAAGGTTTGGAGATCGAGGGGGCCACTGAAGCAGATTTACGACGGACGCTTCTAAAAAGTCTAAGCTAACACGTACCACATGAGGTCGTGTTTTGTCCTGCTGGATTTTGCAATGCTTCCAAAAAGGGAAGCAGATGTGGATGTGAAACTTCGTGGATATAGCGCTTGGCAGTCATGCTACCTCGAATAAACACTCATTGTGACATGCTGCCGTAAGCAATAGTACCCCACATACCATAACACCCACATTGTGATGAATATGACGTTCGATGGAATATTGGACTCGGAAAGTTGAGTGAAATTAGCGCGTCCGCGAACTCTAGGCATAATAATGCAATGAAACAAATCGAACAAACACGGAAAAATCGCTGAATATTAAGTAAATCATTTACAAAAAAAGCATCGAAAGCCAAAAGCAATTAATTTTATTTGATTCATAAACGTCATGGATCATATAATAGGGTAAAGTCGGGTATATTGTACCGGTCTTTAATTTGTACCACCTCAATATTTCCTGAACTATAGAACTCTAACGCCATCTATTTACCTTGTTTGATAGCCCCTGGCGCCAAAACGTATCTAACGAACTCTTGCAACTGACGGTCGTTCGTGTATCTAGTTATTTGGTGTTTTGTGAAACACGTCCTCACGCAGTAAGTATTATACAATCTTAGATAAGCCCTTATGTCCAAATAATCAGTTTCTGCTAAGTGCCGTTATATTTTTCGTAGTTATTGATCATTTTATAAGATCTTTATTGAGTTAAGTTTCACCTAACCTCACTTTTTAAAAAGAAGTAAGAATATTTATGTTATTCATACCAGTTCGGTAATTTGTACCACTGGCTGGTTTGCTAATTGGTACCGGTACAATTTAACAAACTCTTGTATTATTTTCCAGTCATGCCTCGCAAGGGCTTAACATATGGAAAATGGAGCGAAGAAAACATGAAGAAAGCAATAAAACTGTACAAAACGGGAGAATTTGGACTTAATGCGATCTGCAAGAGATATCAGATTCCAAAGCCAACGTTCAAGAGGCATTTGTTAGGGACAAATGTCAAAGCAAAGGAAGGACTGAAATCACTAGGTAGGGTCCAAGTATTCAGCACCGAAGTAGAGCAGGAGCTAGAAAATCAAATCCTGAAAATGGAAGAAATTTTCTTTGGACTCACCATTCAAGATATTAGAAGAGCTGCCTATCAGTTTGCAGAGAAGAATGGAATAAAACATAATTTCAACAAAGTGAAGGGGACAGCCGGTAAAGCATGGTTTTATAATTTCATGAAAAGGCATCCAAAGCTTTCTTTAAGGCAGCCGGAATCAACATCGCTAGCTAGGTGCAAGGGATTTAACAGACAGAATGTCAATCACTTTTTTGATATTTTAGAGAAGTTAGTTGATCAGTATAAAATAGACGCGACAAGGATTTACAACGTAGATGAGTCTGGGTTTTCTACAGTTCAGAAAAAATGCCAAAAAATAATTGCTAAAAAAGGAAAGAAAAACGTTGGGGCAGTGGCCAGCGGGGAACGGGGAGTGAATACCACGTTCATAGTATCCACCAATGCAGCAGGAAACTTTGTAGTGCCTATGATAATTTTTAAAAGAAAAAGAATGATGCCAGAACTTGCAGAAGGTGCCCCTCCAGGCTGCTTAGTTCAAATTTCAGACACAGGATATATTAACTCTGAATTATTCGTGGTTTGGCTACATAAATTTATTGAAGTGGTGAAGCCAAAGCCCACCCCCGAAGATAGAGTGATCCTAGTTCTGGATGGGCACACGACACACTCCAAGAACCTGGAGGCAATCAAGTTGGCTCGACAACATGGTGTAATTCTCCTACAATTGCCAGGGCATACCACAAATCGGCTTCAACCGGCACCCCATATAAGGACGAGTTAGAAAATAGAAAAAAAAACCGTGCTTAATGAAAAAAAAGGTGCAGTGAAAAGGGCAGTACTGTCAGACTTACATGAAAATTCAAAAGAAAAAATGACAGCCAAGACAAGATATATGAAATCCAGAAATTCTTGTTCCCCCACTAAAGCAGATGAGGTGACTAATGCTGTTATAGAGGCAAATGCTGATGACTGGATTTGCATCATCTGCCAGGAATGCATTATAGAGGATATGATCAGGTGTGATCAATGTACAAATTGGGTGCACGAAAGCTGTGCTTCATTTCCCAGCCGAAATCAGTAGGTATATTTGTGACCTGTGTGCCTAAGATTCCTGTAGAGGAGTTCAACAAATAAACATTTTAATTTATTTTGAGTTATTTTGCTAGAGTTATGTTTTATTTCAACTTTGTTCCTTATTTGTGATCTCTTTGATGTAAGTTCATAATTACATGTATAATTATAATAATACACTGTCTTGCTTTATGGCTATACCAACCTGTTCCACTAACAATGAAAATCTTATGGATTTTGCCATGGTACAATTTAAAACCCCCGTGGTACAACTTAGCGAACCGGTTCGATAAATTGTACCGTTTACAACATTTTTTTAAAATGCATCTTATTTTAAGCTCTGAGCATTCACATCAATCTAAAGTTGCGAATTTTGACAGACACATGCCATATTACCTTACTCCGAAGTTTCGCTCAATACAAACAAGTCATCAAGGAGTTATTTCTTAAAATACGTTAGGTGGTACAATATACCCGACTTTACCCTATTTATATTTAAAATATTGAACAAATAACAAAACAGTAAAAACTTTGACAGAAAAAA